TGCCCTTGTGGGACTACAGGTCGCAGCTGTCTGCCTACTTTGAGGCACACAACTTTTCCTTGTGGAGGTGGTGGGGCACTGGCAGAATTAATAGGGTCAGATCTTCTGGGATAACCAGCACGCTAGTCCTTAGTGGATCCTACTCTGCCTTTCTGGTTTATGGCTGGCTGCAAAACCTGAAGCCTTGACTGATGGGGAGGGGGTTATGCCTAGGAGGGAATTCCCTGTCTCTTTTTTTCTGTGTCCAGTCACCTGAAGGTGGCAGCATAACCAAAGAAAATGATTTTTACAGGTAAACCAAAGGAATTCCTTTAATTTGCAGGGATTTCCTCTCACTTCCTGTTTGGCTTTGGAACAGGAAGTGAAGGGAAATCTCAATGGCATACAGATGGTGCACAAAAATCTGACAGGAGTTATAACCCTCCCTTGCTCTATCCAAAATAATAATAATAATAAAAAAATTTGCCTATAGTTCTACTTTAACCTGTTCCCGACCGCGCTATAGCCAAACGATGGCTACAGCACGGTTGGCTAGTCCTGGAGTGTGCACTGCACACGATCTGTGATTGCTGTGTCCTTTGGACACAGCAGATCACATGACTAACGAACAGGCCAATCACAGCAGCATTTACCATATGACCAGCTGTGTCCAGTCACAGCTGATTACAGGGTAAATAGGAAATGTCAGTTATCGGCAGTCCTTTCCTCATGCTGACAGCACGTGAGGAGAGTCGGTAAGCTGCATTTCGCAGGGGGACATCTACACTGATCTTATCAGTGTGCTGGTGATCAGTGTAGCTCCAGCCGTGTGGCCAATAGTGCCCATGTGTGCTGGCAATCGGTGACCATCAAACGCTTTTGGGGTTTTTTTTCCCCCCAAAATGTTTTCTTTTTTTTTTTTTTTTAGAAAATAATAAAAACCTCAGTGGTGATTAAATACCACCTAAGGAAAGCTCTATTTGTTTAAAAAAAAATTATAAAGATTTAGTTTGGGTACAGTGTTGCATGACTGCACAATTGTTTTTCAAAATATGAGAGTGCTGAAAGCTGAAAATTGGCCTGGGCAGGAAGGGGGTAAAAGTGCCCGGTGGGCAAGTGGTTAAATCATTAAAACCCAAGCGATATCATCTCAAGAACTCCTAATCCTTTTCCATATTATAGGCTAAGGAAAAAAATTAATAATTGAGTATCTTTGTAGGTACAAAAAAAAGGGCATTTATTCTTTTCTTTTTTTTTTTTATCATTACAGGTACATTACGTTGAACCGTCCCATAAAGGCAGACAGTTACTGAATGGCAGGAAGAATGAATGGACTACAAGAGTGCTCATCAGCGCCCTTGCAGTTTATTGAAAACTACAAGCCTTGAGCTGCAGTACATGGCTGACAGTACTTCTAGTATATTCATTCACAAGTAACTGTGAATTAATGGCTCGGCCATGTGGGCGACATCCCTCACGGCCATGCTGTTTTCAATTTGTGCCAGTGGAGAAAAGAACCCCCACCTGCTGTCACAGAAAAAGGATCGCTGGTGGCAGGAGGTGGGGTGCAGCGAAGCATGTTACACCCTAAATATGAACTTATCCTTTAAGGATTCAATGTATTGTCAATAAACAATGTGCATGTAAAATTGTCCAATTCTGTGAAAGTGAAAAAATAATTGACTAAGCAGGAGTGTCTGCCTTATCTATAATCACCTGAGTAGCCTTTTAATAAAAAGGAGTAGCCATACCTTTCTCCTATAAAGACCAAACACCCTTAGCTTCACTCTTCCTTTTTTACCACTATATATTAAATCCCAGTGCCAACTTAAAGTAGAACTATGGATAAAACAGGTTGTAGGGAAGAGGCCCTTGTCCCTATCAATATGGGGACAAGGTGTGTGTTAGTGGGGCGGTGGCGCCCCCCCATGTTGAGGACATATGGCCTGGTATGGTGCACATGCTCAGTTTGGTGTGTATTGCTAGAGACAAAAGGAGAAAAAAATTCCTGATAAATAGCCACCATCCTCAAAAATTTGGAGTTGAATATAAAGAAATGGACCCCCTAAAATTGTTTGGGACTTTGAAGGCGTAGGCATTACACACATAAAAATTTATGACATAACATACCATCTGAGATTATTTTGTAACATCACCATCGAGGCTATTTATTTGGTAACAACAATGCTTTGTATACACAATAAACCATTGCTGATCATATTAGAACATCACCATCAAAACATATTGTTTTAAAAGAATTGCAGGAACGATTTACATAGATCCCCATATGGAAATGTTAATCTTTTTTTATGTGTGTAATTTGACAAAATAAAGATTTCACATTTTTAACTCAACCTATGTATCTATGCCTTCAAAGTCCCAACCAATTTTAGGGGGTCCCTTTCTTTATATTCAACTCCATATTGCTAGAGAGGTTTTTTTTTTTCTTGGGAGAGTGCATGTGATCAGCACAGGGCCAATCAGCTCTGTCTTGACAGAGGTCAGGGGTTCTGCATCCTCCTACGGCAGAATGAAAGCTCCTCCTACAAGCTTTAACCTTTGCTGTGCTGGACACTGATAAAAGTCACAAGACTGCTCTAACCACTGAGGAGAAAAGGTATTTAGCATGTTTTATCTTTACTGAAATACTTGCTGTTCCATGTTGTGTGTACTGTGGGAGACAAGATACAGTGAATGCAGGGTCCTGGGTTTAGTAACACTTTTATCTATTCTGTTTCTACAGAATAAACGTAAAGTAATATGCTGATATTGAGGTTGAGGTGTGCATAAAGCAAGAAGGTAAAATTATGCTGCAAATCAAGAGAAATCATGTTTTTGTTTTTTGTTTTGTCCTGTAGGTGTCCGTAGCAGTAGATGATATCCTGAAGCTGAGCGAGGAGCCAAAACTGCCACAGCGGGAAGTTTCATCCACCTCATCCACCACTTCTTCTTCCATGTCGTTTAGCAGCCCAGAAAGTACACTGGTGAAGCCAAAGCTCAGTGCATCAGGGTCCTTAGACATAGTGGATGGTGTAGGACCAGTCCATGTTCCCACACATAGTCCCTCCCCAAAACAGTCTGTACAGGTGGGCCGATTCCAGGTTACCACCTCCACAACTGATAGAGAGGCCGCTTTTCAGTATCTCGCGCAGAGGATGACCTATCATCGGGCCACACAGAAACAGAGCTGCCACGAGCCTCTTCCCCAAAGACACAGTCCCATCTCAATGGACCATCTTCCCATCCCGAATCATCAACCACTCTAAGCGATCCGCCCAGGGGAGTGCATGATGACAGCTTGGGGAGCCCTGTTTTGCCCCACCCTCTGAGTTCAAAGCCCAGCTTGCAAAGTCTTAGCAACTCCTTTAACTCCTCCTACATGAGCAGTGACAATGAATCAGATATAGAAGATGAGGAGCTAAAGAAGGAGCTACGGAGGCTGCGGGACAAGTGAGTGGCCACCATTTTCTGGTAGCTTTTTACTGAGTGTTTACTTTTTTCTAATGTGGTGTTATGTTCAGGACTGTTTTTTTTTTTTTTTTTGTTTTGTTTTTTTGTTTTGTTTTTTTGTTTTGTTTTTTTGTTTTGTTTTTTTTTTTTGTTTTTTTTGTTTTGTTTTTTTTTTGTTTTGTTTTTTTGTTTTGTTTTTTTGTTTTGTTTTTTTTTTGTTTTTTTGTTTTGTTTTTGGTTTTTTTTTTTTTTTTTTCTTCTTTCCGCTCTCTCCTATTGTTTTTCTCTTTTATGCACGCACACACACACACACACACACACACACACACACACACACACACACACACACACACACACACACGCACACACACCCCGTCCCATTTAAATGCCTCTTATTTAGCCACATCCCTTTCTAGTGATTGTTGTTTTTTTTTGGCTATAAGGGCCTACACTTGAGGCCCATCATGTTCACAGAGTTGATTTCAAGACCAAGCAGATTTTCAGTTTATTTCAGCTAAATATATTTCAGGTGCATCAAAACAAAATGTGTACAAAGTCTTACAGTTTTTCTTTATCAAGTATCCGCAGCTTGAATCTAAAAGCCTGCCCTTGGCCGTCATGCTGCAGTGAAGGGTCCATGCTTGCCGATATGCCCCTTGCTGAGCCTGAAATATAGTTTTTTGTGTTTTTTTTGTTTTTTTTAAAGAATGTTAACCCCTTGATGCCGACTGTACGCAAATATGCGGCTTCTCGGCAGCTGGGCCTTGACGCTGAGCGGCCGCATTTTTGCGTACCATTTGAAAACACGTATGTGCTGAGAGCGTGTCTTATGCGTTCACAGCACATATGTCGGTGTCTCACGGAAAGGTCCCGATCGTAACGGGTCCTTACGATCGGGACCTTTTCCAATCATGTGACCGCCATGACAGAGAATCACAACGGTCACATGACCCTAAAACTCCGCCCCACCTCCTGGCGTCTGAAACCCCTTAATGGGCCGGGAGGCACCGATGTGAAGAGGTTAAAAAAAAAAAAAAAGGCAGAAACAGCCGAACCTTTAGATTCTTAATTGAGAAGGGCTTTGTTAATGGATATGCCATATTTACAAGTATGTATACATGTTGTTGGTTTCTTTTATGTTGTATGGGATTCTGTGAATGTGCATCGTCTGCATGGTTTGTTTTTTCTCTCACAGGCACCTGAAGGAGATACATGAGCTACACAGCCGCCAGAAACAAGAAATTGAGAAACTGTACACAACATTAGGCAAAGTACCTCCTGCAGTCATAATCCCTCCTGCAGCGCCCCTGTCTGGCCGGAGAAGGAGACCGACCAAGGGGAAAGGCAGCAAATCAAGTAGGGGGAGCTCTTATGGGAACCGCAGTCCTCAGCTCTCAGGTACCTAGGAGTAGCAACTCTATATATTCCATATAATGTATTTTCATTACAGATAGAAAAGGTAGTTATTGCCTTAAAGTGCGGAAACCACTAATTCAGAGGTCGACCCACTGGAAATATAGAGCTTTTCCCATAATCCTCTCTGGTTCATCTGTTCTATTCTTTTACCTGTAGGTGACCTGTCCACACAGAGTGCTCCTGCCACCATTCCCCCCCAGCAGAACCTTCTCCTTCCCCCTTCTAGTGTGCCGGACCCCGGACACCACCTGAAACCCTCACCCTCCAGTGACATCCTCTGCTCTGCCTTCACCAGTGATGCTGCCCTCTCTGTACCCAGTTTATCCGCCCAGGGACAAGGTAAACCCAAAAGGCACACCCTGGGAACATTTACCTTTCTAAAACTAACTGGGAAGACTCTGTGTCACCTTCCCATTTTTCACAGGTGCTAGTGGGAGACTGTTTTGACACATTTTTTTTCTCCATATCTTGACATATCAAAAAGCATAGGAGGTTATTTCCCTAGTTTGAATAATAGGTTGAACTGTGCATATTCTCTTTGGTCCTATATGGCAACTGTGCATTCAGAACAGCTGTTTTATAGCCCATGTAAAACCTAAATTTAGAGCCATTTATCTAACTGGCCATTCACGTGCTGGATTTTACCCCAGATAATATAAAGTTATTTATCTAGATGTACATCCTAAGGTGCTGGTTTCTAGCACATACATAGCCTAAATATAGAGGCACTTATCTGAGACGCTGGTTTATAGCCCAGATACTATGTGTGTGCATACAGTGGGGTATGAAAAAGAATCACCCCCTTTAAAATAATCACATTTTCTTGCTTTGCTGCCTGAAATAAAGACACAGTTTTTGTTTTATTCAGCTGTATTTTTATCCAAGTGAAAGATATAACCCCAACATGTCAGAAAAAAAATTTAAACATTCAAAAACTGAATCGCTGAGTTGGAAAAAGAATCACCCATTTGTGTCAGTATTTTGTTGAACCACCTTTTGCTTTAATTACAGCCTGTAGTCTGTTGGGAGATGTCTCTACTAACTTTGCACATCTAGACTTTGTAATATTTGGCCACTGCTCTTTGCAGAACTGCTCAAGTTCAATTACATTTGATGGTGACCGTCATTCCACTGATTTTTCAATAGGGTTTAAGTCTGGGTTCTGACCAGGCCATGCAAGGTAATTTTTTCTGTGTGCTTTGGGTCATTGTCATGCTGGAAGGTAAACCCATCCATTTTTCCTTCTATCCTGACAAGTGCTCCTACTGCAGAGAACAACCCCCAAAATAACAGCATATTACCACCTCAATGCTTTACTGTAGGAATGGTGTTGTATGGATGGGGAGCTGTATTGGATTTCCCCCAGACATATCGTTTGGCGTTGAGGCCAAAAAATTCAATTTTAGTCTACATCTGACCATAATATTTCCATGTAGCCTAAAAATCTTCAAGGTGCGTTTTGGCAAGTCTCAGTCGTGACTGCATGTGGCCTTTCTTGAGTGTTTTTTTTCTTGCAACCCTTCCATACAAAGCCACATTGGTGGAGAATTTGTGATATTGTCAGATGCACACAATGACCACTCTGTCATAAGTTCCTGCAACTGCTTCAGAGTTGCTGTAGGCCTTTTGGTTTCCTCCTGGCTCTTTCATCCAGTTTGGAGTGACGTCCTGATCCAGGGAGGGTCAGTGTTGTATCAAATACCTTCCACTTTATAAAAATAGACTTCCCTGTGCTTCTAGGCATTGATAAAGCCTTTGAAATGTTTTTGTATCTATTTCCTGATGTGTGTCTGTCCACACCTTTATTCCGGAGAGCTTTTGACAGTGCTTTAGTTGCACTAGCAGGGACTGAAATGCTCCAGGAAAGCTCTTTTCTTCCTGAGCTAATCAGAATGACCACATCCTTTTTCCAACTTGATGCTTTTGAGTTTGATTTTTTTTTTTTTTGTTTCAGGCTGCAGAGCAACAAAATTGTAATTATTTTAAATATATATATATATATGTATATGTATATATATATATATATATATAATCACCATTTATACAACTGGACATTTGCAGTGGCTGGATAATATAGACACAGTCTGAATATGTAACCATTTATACAAATGTGCATCCAGAGCTTTGGCTGCTAGCATACAGTGGGTAAAATATTTCTAAAGGTGGTATTGACATGTTATTTTCACCACGTCCGTAACAACCCATGCAATCCATACATAGAATTTAATTTCTACACTTATTTGTTTTGGTTTCTTATGTAATAAAATGGAATGACACAGGGAAAAGTATTGAACATATGAAGAAAGGAAGGTGCAAAAAAGCACAGAAATCCAACACACCAGCTGAAATCTATCAGAAATTAAAAGCAATCCTGCCCCTTGTCAGTGAAAATTAATATCAGCTGGTTCAGTCTTAACTGATGGCCTATAAAAAGGTGTCTCATTATCAAGTTGTCACACAAACACTTCATGATAGGTAAAAGCAAAGAGCTCTCCCAAGACCTTCACAACCCTATTGTTGCAAAACATACTGATGGCATTTAGTTTGAGGTTTAGAAATCCTTCTGTATGTTCCAATGAGCACTGTTGGGGCCATAGTCCAGAAGTGGAAAGAATATAATTTCACCATGAACCGGCCATGACCAGGTGTTCTTCCCAAGATTTCTGACAGAGTGAAAAGAATTATCAGAAGAGTTGTCCAAGAACCAAGGACCACTTGTGGAGAGCTTCAGAAAGACCTGGAATTAGAAGGTACAATTGTTTCAAAGAAAACAATAAGTAATGCACTCAACTGCTTTGGCCTGTATGCACATTCACCAGGCAAGACTCCATTGCTGAAGAAAAAGCATGTTGAAGCTTGTTTTAAAGTTAGCTGCATAACATTTATACAAGAATGTGAAATACTGGGAGAATATAGTCTGGTCAGATGAGACCAAAATGGAATTCTTCCGATGCCATAATACACACCATGTTGGGAGGTCAAATGGCACTGCACATCACCCCAAAAACACCATCCCAACAGTGAAGTTTAGAGGTGGGAACATCATGGGCGTGGGGCTGTTTTTTAGCATACGGTACTGGCAAACTTCATATCATTTAAGACATTCTTGATAAAAATCTGCCACCTACCAGGAAGATGAAGATGAAACGAGGGTGGACATTTCAGCAAGACAATGAACCCAAATAAAGCCAAGGAAACTCAATTGGTTTCAAAGATAATAAAGCTGCTAGAATGGCCCAGCCAATCACCTGACTTGAATCCAGTAGAAAATCTATGGAAAGAACTAAAGATCAGAGTTCACAGAAAGAGGCCCATGGATCCTTCAAGATTTGAAGACTGTGGAAGAATGGGCCAATATTACACCTGAGCAATGCATGTGACTAGTTGCTCCATACTGGAGGCAACTTGAAGCTGTCATTATCAACATAAATTTTGTACAAAGTATTAAATTTTCAGTTCGTGTGAAATACTTTTTCTGTGTCATTCCAATTTATTACATATAACTTAATTTATGAACTTATTTGTGTTGGTATCTTTATATGTTTGGATTGCATGGGTTGTTACTGACGTGGTGAAAATTTCATGTCAATAGCACCTTTAGAAATAGATCTATCTAGAAAAATGGCGGTGTGCTCAATACTTTTTACCGGTTGTATATATAGTTTAATCATAGAGCCAATTATCCTGCTTAGGGCAGGGAGTGCTGGGACTGGCATGGCTTCAGGTCACCTGCAATTTGCCCTCCAAAAATGTAAAAAGTAGTTCAGCCATTGTAAGTTGTGAACTTGATGTTTGACTTCTTGTTTCTCTCACTGTTCTCTGTACTGCTCTTTGTTGGCACTAAAATGCTGACAGAGCAGCACAGATTGAACTCCACTCCAAACACTCTTATCCAAAGTTTCCCTTTTTATATGTGCTGTCTTGTGATTTGTGACCTGTCTCTGCAGCGTCTGTCTCTGTCCTCTTGTCTGTTTTATTCCATCTCAACCACAGGCTGGGCCAAGTTTAACTGTGCATCAGAGCGGGTCTCCTTCAAAATGGCCGGCAGGAGGACGCGATTTCTGAGTACGCCCTGCTTGGCTCTTTGTGTGTAACTCTTTACTCCTTCCTTGTCTTTCTCTTTCCCTCCTACCCCCTTCCTGCCTTGCATGCACCCCTCTCGCCATGAGCTGCAGATCTGCTTCCTGCTAAGACAGGAGAGGAACAGTGGGGGTTTTGGGTAATTGATGTACTTTTCATAAGTCACATACAATTCTTTTGAGCTTCCCTTTGTGTTTTTTTTTTTTTTTTTATTTGTTGTTTTTTTCTTAGCTTCTGATAATTTACTTCTGACAAATACAGTGGATATAAAACGTCTACACACCCCTGTCAGGTTTCTGTGATGTAAAAAAATTAGACAAAGATAAATAATTTCAAACTTTTTCCACCTTTTTAATGTGACCCTTAAACTGTACAACTCAATTGAAAAACAAACTGAAATCTTTTTTTTTGGGGGGGGGGGGGAGTAAACATAAAAAACTAAAATAATGTGGTTGCATAAGTGTGCACACCCTCTTATAAACTGGAGATGTAGCTGTGTTCAGAATTAAGTTATCACATTCAAAATCATATTAAATACGAGTCAGTACACACCTGCCATCATTTAATGTGCCTCTAATTAACCCCCAAATAAAGTTCAGCTGCTCTAGTAGGTCTTTCCTGACATTTTCTTAGTCACATCCTACAGCAAAAGCCATGGTCCGCATAGAGCTTCCAAAGCATCAGAGGGATCTCAGTGTTAAAAGGTATCAGTCAGGAGAAGGGTACAAAAGAATTTCGAAGGCATTAGCTATACCATGGAACACAGTGAAGACAGTCATCAAGTGGAGAAAATATGGCTCAACAGTGACATTACCAAGAACTGGAGGTCCCTCCAAAGTTGATGAAAAGACGAGATGAAAACTGGTCTGGGAGGCTACCAAGAGGCCTACAGCAACATTAAAGGAGCTGCTGGAATATCTGGCAAGTACTGGCTGTGTGGTACATGTGACAACAATCTACCGTATTCTTCATATGTCTGGGCTATGGGGTAGAGTGGCAAGATGGAAGCCTTTTCTTATGAAGAAAAACATCAAAACCCGGATAAATTTTGCAAAAATATATCTGAAGTCTCCCAAAAAGCATGTGGGAAAATGTATTCTGGTCTGATGAAACCAAGGTTGAACCTTCTGGCCATAATTCCAAAAGATATGTTTGGTGCAAAAACAACACTGCACATCACCCAAAAGAACACCATACCCACAGTGAAGCATGGTGGTGGCAGCATCATGCTTTGGGGCTGTTTTTCTTCAGCTGGAACTGGGGCCTTAGTCAAGGTAGAGGGAATTTTGAACAGTTCCAAAAACCAGTCAATATTGGCACAAAACACTTCAGGCTTCTGCTAGAAAGCTGAACATGAAGAGGAACTTCATCTTTCAGCATGACAACCACCCAAAGCATACATCCAAATCAACAAAGGAATGGCTTTACCAGAAGAAGATAAAAGGTTTAGGATGCCCCAGCCAGGGACCAGACCTGAATCCAAACGGAAATCTGTGGGGTGATCTGAAGAGGGCTGTGCACAGGAGATGCCCTCGCAATCTGACAGATTTGGAGTGTTTTTGTAAGGAAGAGTGGCCAATATAAGTCAAAATGTGCCATGCTGATAGACTCATACCCAAGAAGACTGAGTGCTGGAATAATATCAAAAGGTGCTTCAACAAAGTATTCGTTTACGGGTGTGCACACTTATGCAACCACATTGTTAGTTTATTTTTACTTCCCTCCACCTAGAAGATTTGTTGTTCAACTGAGTTGTACAGTTTATAGGTTACATTAACTGCTTTTCTGCCACCCTATAGCAGAAATACTGCTACAGGGCGGCGGGGGTGCGCAAAATCGTGTGTGTGTGTATATATGCGATTTGGCATTTCTGGCCGTTGGCGGCCTCACCTGGTGATCACCACCGGCACATGGCGATCACTGTGTATCACGGACGGGGGAGAGACCTGTTTGTAAACAATACTGATCTCTACCCTGTCAGCTCCTGCAAACTGTTTTGTATGGCTCTGCATAGCAGAGCCATACAATACAAAGCAGTGTGCTTAGTGTAAAGCACTCACACAGCACACAGTAAAAGACAGTTACAGTTAACACTTTGATCGCCCCAGATGTTAACCCCTTCCTGTCCAGTGACATTAGTACAGTGTCAGTGCTTTTTATTAGCACTGATCACTGTATTGGTGTTACTGCAAATGTCAGTGACAGTCCGTTCCCCCCCCCCAGTGTCAGAATGCCCTCCCCAGACCTGCTATAAGTTGCTGATCGCCACCATTACTAATATAAAAAAAATAAATTCCAGTATATATACCGCCATTTGTAAACTATAACTTTCAGGTAAACCAATTAATTTACACGTATTGGGATTTTTTTTTAGCAAAGACATGTAGAATACATTTTGGCCTAATTTTATGATGAAATTTGATAAATTTTTTTTTTACTGGACATTTAATAGCAAACAATCAAATATATTGTGTTTTTTTCTCAAAATTGGCTATATATTTATTTTTTTTTATAGCACACAAAATAACCACAGAGGCAATCAAATACCACTGAAAGAAATCTCTATTTCTGGGGGGAAAAAGGACAATTTTAATTTGGGTGCAGCATTGCATGACTGCGCAATTGTCAGTTAAAGTAATGCAGTGCTTTATCACAAAAAATGGCCTGGTCAGGAAAGGGGGGGGGGGGGATCCTCTGGAACGCAAGGTGGTTAAAGGTGGACAAAGTTCTGAAATGATTTATCTTTGTCTCATTTTTCACAGAAAGCTGACATTTTAACAGGAGTGTGAGACTTTTTATATCCACTGTAAGGGGCAAAAGATATTTTGAATGTTTTTGTATCGCAGACTTGTAGTTCTGAACATTGGCGTGCAACAGATTTTTCTTCCCTTCCCTTGTGGCAGAAATGAGAGCGGTCATCTTCAGTCCTCCACCTTGGTATAGCAGTGAATGGTCACTGTGTGGAGCAGTGTATAGCTGTTTCATGGATAACACTGGTCTATATAACCATTTCACTGCAACTTATCTGGAGAGCAAACATAGCCATCCTGCAGAAGTTGCTGAGCTTTGGTAGTGTGCCAAATATAAAGTAAATCTGACCTGAAAAAGATTGGGGTTGCCATTGCTGTTTTATTCTGAAATGCTCCAGCAATTCCGATTGGTCAGAGTGGTCATATGCCAGCATGTGACCAATCAGAATCGCTCTGATCCATTTTCGAAAGTCCTAAAGAAAGAAGGAAGACTAGCAGGGCTTTCTAAAATCAGGAATGTTAGATCGACCCTGTGGGCAGTGACAGCTAATCGCCTGTGGAGCCAGCGGAGGGTGTAGGGTGTTTTAGCTTTTCACAAAAAATTAAAAAGTGAACTTTAATTTTTTTTTCTCATATGCCACAAAGTATTTAAATCTGGTTTGTGTGCACCCAGTACTTTGGCACACACCTGATACTGTGGGTATCACACCTGAGCTGGGTAGGTAGGCAGGACCAGTCGCCCTGCACATGGAGAGAGAACCATAGAGTTCAGGAGTCATTTTGTGCTGGATTACCGTATTTTTCGCCGTATAAGACGCACCTGACCATAAGACGCACCTAGGTTTTAGAGGCAGAAAACAGGAAAAAAAAAATTCTGAACTAATGGACTGCAGACATAGTACAGGAGATGACCAGAGACTGCAGACACAGTACAGGAGATGACCAGAGACTGCGAACACAGTACAGGAGATGACCAGAGACTGCGAACACAGTACAGGAGATGACCAGAGACTGCAAACATAGTACAGGAGATGACCAGAGACTGTGGACATAGTACAGGGGATGATCAGAGACTGCAAACATAGTACAGGAGATGACCAGAGACTGCGGACACAGCACAGGGATGACCAGAGACTGCGGACACAGCACAGGGATGACCAGAGACTGCGGACACAGCACAGGGATGACCAGAGACTGCGGACACAGCACAGGGATGACCAGAGACTGTGGATAGTACAGGGGATGACTGCTGACCTTTGGGGAGGGGGGGGAGCGGGTACCTGAATTTGACAGGTACCCGCTCCCACTTCCGCGGAGTTGTTCTTTCATCTTACCTGTTCCTCGATCCAACCGCACGCTGTCTTCCCGGCTTCTGTAATGGCGCTCGGCATGACAGCCGGGTGCCCAGTGCGCATGAGCGAGAAGCACTTGCGCTTTGTGATTGGTCCGGCGGCTTCTGGGATCTGTCATGTGTCCCAGCTGCCGCCTTACCATTCACAAAAAGCACCGCTTCGTGCGCATGCGCACTTGGCACCCGGCTGTCATGCCCACACTACAGAAGCCGGGAAGACCGCGCCGCTGGATAGAGGAACAGGTAAGATGAAAGAACAACTCCACGGAAGTGGGAGCGGGTACCTGTCAAATTCAGGTACCCGCTCCCCCTCCCTCCCCAAAGGTCAGCAGTCATCTCCATAAGGTCCCGCTGTAGAGCTGAGCGGCCGGCCCGGTATTCTGACACGGCGGCGGTGGAAATACCGGATCGGCCGCTCCATATTCGCTCCATAAGACGCACTGACATTATCCCCCCTTTTTTTGGGGGAAAAAAAAGTGCGTCTTATGGAGCGAAAAATACGAGACTGCACAATTCTGGATGAAAAACTCCACAATTCAAGTAAGAGTGGTTCTTGTAGAAAATATTTGTTTAGCCCAAAGTTCAGTTTCAATTCAGTACCTTCAAATTGAGTTAGGTGTTGGTTGAACATAGAAAAGCCCCTTTAATTACCCTCTTGTTCTGTGACTGCTTCTGCTGGCCCTTTTCTGCTGCAGCTTATTCTACAGGCTTCTGTAACCTAACATACAGATCCCGTAATCAGCTGCATACAGAGCTGTTTTCTGCCTCCTCTGCATGTTATGTCAGCATTCTATCCCACGTTTTTGTAAAGACCTTTGATCATACTGATGCAGCGATGAGCGCCATCATTCTGTTTAATAAACACTAGCCTGTTATTTAGCTTCTTCCTAATAATAAATATGGTGAAATCAGTATTGCTGATTCTACTGATATTGTTAACAATTTCTATCACAACATCACTTGCTGGGTCGCTGTATAGTGGTGTTGGCAGAAATGAGGATATTGGGATTTTTATTTTCAGGCTTTTTTTTTTTTTTTTCGTTTATATAATACAGAATAAAAAACCTCAGTGGTGCTCAAATACCACCAAAAGAAAGCTGTATTTGTGTGAAAAAGGTATATAAATTTCATATTTGGTACAGTATTGCATGATTGCGCAATTGTCAGTTAAAGTAGCTCTGTGCCGTATAGCAAAAAATGGCCTGGTCATGAAGGTGGCTAAATCTTCCAGATGCCAAGTGGTTAACCACTTCCCGACCGGCCATTGTATATAAACGGCCGGACAGTGGCACTGCAGGGTCGTGTGGCCGTTTATAAACGGCCTCCCCACACCCTGCTTGTGCGCGTTCCCCAGGAGTGCGCAGCACCACAATCCGGTGCCCGCTGTGTCCTCCGGACACAGTGAAACACCGATTATGTGATCACTGATTGGCCAATCAGTGATCACATGCAAAGTAGTAAGCAAGATGTCACTTCTGACATCATTGCTTACTACGTGTGAAATATGTGAATGATCACAGAGGTCATGTGACCAGCTGTGACCAATCACAGCTCACTCAGTAGTTCTCAATGGCTGCATGAATGCAGCTAGAGAGGAGGAGAAATTATTGCTTTTACAGCCTATATGGGTGTAAAAGCAATCAGAGTAAACAAAAAAAAAAAAAATCTTCATCACCCCCTAAAAGTAGGACAGTGTCACCATGGTGACACTGTATTGCTAGGGTGACAGTATGTAAAAAAAATAAATAAAATAAATAATATAAAAAAAATGTTTAAAAATTATAATTTTTGGTTATAAACTAATTTTGCTTATTTATTTTTTTTACTAAAAAGATAACGGAATACATTTTGGCCAAGATTTATGATGAAATATTATTTATTTGCAAAATTTTATAAGAAAAACACTTTTCAAAATTTTTGGAGATTATCATTTACATAGCAAAAAAAAAAAAAAATCCCAGCGGTGAATAAATACCACAAAAATAAAGTTTTATCTGTCTCAAAAAAATGGTAAAAAATTCATATGGGTACAGTGTTACATGACCGCGCAATTGTCATTCAAAGCGTGATAGCGCTGAATGCTGAAAATTGCCCTGGTCAGGAAGGGGGTAAAAGTGTCCGGACTGGAAGTGGTTAAAGCTGAGCTCCAGGTATGTCGTTTTTTTCTTTTCTTTTTTCTTTTCTATGATTACATTGGTCCAGCTTGGACCAATGTAAGTATTCATGTTCTATACTTGCCGACGCCTGTGGAAGTGGAGAATCATTGTAGCAGTTTCCGCTACTACTGTGATCCTCACTGTCTTCTGAGTCCCATACCAAGCGCCTGTCCTGGTGTATAGTGAACAAAATTGCTCAGGCGCCACAGGCGCCATTCAGAGAATGCCTTGCACCTTTTTTGCAATAACTACAAAGTGTTCTCTGTTTGAATGCGGAAAAGAGGCAAGGTGGTGGTGGTGTCCAATCAGAGATTGCATTGAATTTACTGAGAAATTGAGCTGCAGCTGCTACAATGATTCTTTGCTTCCTCAAGGATCGACCAGATTTGGAACAAGTATACTTGCGTCGGTCCCAGCTGAATCTGGGATAATGTAAATGCGCCAAAAAGAATCTATATCTGGAATTCAGCTTTAATAAAGATAATATAAATACATACCGGTATATGTTTTTTCAGTTCAGTAAGTAAAACATAAAAGCCTTTCCTGGTGTAGTACCTACACACAGGATAGAAACCGTACATAGAGGAATAGGTAAGCTGCTTATGTGCTCAAAGTGTGCACCTTGTGAGATGGTGGAAGAGGAAGCACTGCTGGATCAGGAAGTTGTATGTAAGTTGCAATGTGCACCTTCTCTGACAGTGGAGGAGAAAGCAGCGCTGTATATAAGTTTGCAGTTCCTGGCTTGGCAAATAGTGAAGGAAGAAGCATTGTTGGGATCAGTAAGCTGTAAAAAAATGTGACAGTCCTCACCTCCAGATAGTAAGCTGTATATAAGGTGTCAGTATGTGCCTTGTCAGGTAGTGGAGGAGGAAGTTGTGCTGGGTCATTTACCATCTGTATGGAAGTACACATAGTGTCTCTGGATAGATAGTGGAGGAGGAAGCTGTGCTGGATCAGTATATAAGGTAAGAATTTGTGGGTCATTGACCAGAGAGATTATCAAAGTCTGATTATTTGCAAAGGATCCAAAGCAGAGAGTGCCTTGTAGGATTTGGACTTTAATTCTCTCTCTAATTGGTTTCCTGAGGGGCTGACAGAAAGCAAGAATAAATGGTGGATGAACAGAAGAGATCAGGTTGGGTTGGAATGGAACTAGTCTGATTAGTGGACATTTAATCTGGGAAGCGATGAGGGTGCTGAGGTATATCAGCAGTAATTGTATATGTAGATGATCATTACAAATATTTGAGCCTGAGTTGTGATCAGCTTTTTCATGGTTTATCACACTACTCGGGATATCTGATGAACCCTGCATGTAATGAGCAGGGAACTGCCCTGGGCAAGTAGCCTCACAAACTGCAGTTCACACAAATACTAGGCAATAGGCACTACAGTACAATCTCTTTCAGTAATGGTGTGCTGTGGTTAGCAGGAGATCCAGTTTCAAATAAGCGGCCCTCATTCTCTAAAACGACTGAGCAATCTGTGTCGGTTGTTTCCTAAGTTACTATAAGCCACTGGCCTTTGAAGTCATTAAAAGAGAAGTGTGGGTTTAAAAAAATTCTATTATACTCACCTAGACGTATGCAGCATCGACTCCCCCCCCACAGCTTCTAAGACTGAGGACTGAGCAACCAGTGGGCTTTGATCAGAATTCAGTTGTAAGTGAGCAGAGAGTCGGTGATTGTCAGTCACTGGCTCTCTGCTCTGTCCCTCCAGCGCTCACTGGAGCACCAGGCTGTGCAGGAGGCGGGAGTGGCTGACTCAGGCTCTTAGTGGCTTGCTGAGAGGCTGAGGCAGCTGCCGGTCCAGGCATCTTGGAAGGTGCCAGTTGTAAAGTCAGGATCAATCCAGAGCCTGGACCAGCTGTGTGATCCCCAGAAGTACATCTAAAATAGCTTTGACTATACTTCTTTGAGCCTGGGTTCACATATGTGTGAGTTGGTTTTTACAGCACGATTTCAGTCCCCTCCAGTGCGACTTTGACAATTTGCACCTGAACCATTGAACAAAGTATATGACAATGGAAATCACACCTGAACCGGGTTCAAAATCTTACCAGACACTTTTTGAAATCATGCTGCAGCCAACCCGCACATATGTGAACCACCTCTGTTCTGCAGGTTGACATGTCATGTGAATCGGATGCAGTTTAAAATGCATCCAATTTGCATATATGTGAACTGGGGCTTGTTGGGACCATACAAAGGTTGTTTATAAAAGAAAAAATTCAACAGAGTTCATTCTTCCATTCTTACAATGTTCTCTGTAACTATAGAACATTTATTTCTGCAACATCCCCCCTCCCCTTCCCAGTTTAAATTGTTGAGTTGTTTCTGCCTAATAGCAGCTTTCATTGCCCAGCCTTTGCAGGTCGCACAGTACCCAGCATGCCTTGCATAGATGGTGGAACTTGTAACTCCTGGTTGGTCCGCTTTTGCTTAATCTGCAGCCATTGGCCGGGGTCTTGGTGGAACTTCTGCTCTCTCTGCTTGGCTCTGCCCATTTCCTGTGCTCTGTTTTATCTGATCTCCCCCCATCCAGCTTTCTCCGTTGTTGGGATGTCAGCTCTGTGCTAACACATGTCTCTCTCTTTCTGCTTCAGGGAAGATGGTGAAAAAAGTCTGCCCTTGCAACCAGCTCTGTAGTAACTATCTTTTCTATATATCTATATCATTTCTGTGTTTCATATTCTGCAAACTGTCGCTCTCTTTATACAAATTCTAAGAGCCCTGTGCGGCCCACATATCGCACACCATGATGCTCCCGCTGTCTTGTCACCATCTAGTGGAGTCTCAGTAATCCACAGAAAACGTGACTTTTATATTATACACAGGTAAATACCTGGAAATCTACCCAATGGAATATTTATAAACATTGTGCAGGCTGAAAAATGAAAAATAAGCAGAATGTCTTTTTTTTTTTTTTTTTTTTTTTCCCCTCCCTGCTGGCCCATCCTAGGGTGCATGCATTTTTCTGAACTGCTTATTTAGAAGACACATTTTACTGCATTCTAATAAACAAAAAAAAAATAAAAAATTAGGCGCAGTAGTGGTCAGTTGTCCTCTATATTCTTAAACACTGGTGAACTTATGGCATGAATGGTGCCCATGCTTTAGAATACAGCATGTTGATGTGAAGCAGCAGAGTATAAAAGGTCTCAAGGTTTGAATTGAAGGGTATTTTTGCCTTTTTGGTCACACCTAAAGTCTCTGAGTTGTCATCCTTTTCTCCTGGGGAACGTCATTATCTGAACCTGTGCCATTTTCTTGAACATTTTGTTTTCTTCATTTTAGGGACAAGCAGTACAAATACAGTCGCCCCTTCTACTGCTCCAGCCCCACAAACCAACACAGCCCCTGTATCCTCCAGTCGGAAGGGGACATTCACAGATGATCTGCACAAGCTTGTTGATAACTGGGCCCGGGACGCCATGAACCTAACTGGAAAAAAGGGTAGCAAAACACCTGGACATCCCAGCTATGAAGTGAGTTGAAGCATCCTGCCTCCCTGATGATGAGTTATCGTCACATTAGAAATGCTTTCATTATTTGGCACCTTTCTCCAAAATTGTAATTTTCCAGAACCCTTTCAACAAAAACAATTGACCTGAATCGACTGAGGTATTACAATCCTACCTTCCCCTCCCTTCTAGTTGGCAACTTGTAAAGGGGAACTCTGCTAGTTTTTTTAGTTTTAGTCACATGGCCAGTTTGAGCTAACAAATGGAAAAAGTTTACACACTTTGTTATATATTTCAATGAAAGTTTTTGTGCTCCGAGTTTGGCTTTAAAGCTAGACATTTCAAGACCAAGCAGCAAGTGAAAGTCTATGTGAAGCCAAAAGGTTTTTCATTGCTGTTTGTATCCTTGCTAGGTAGATTTACACATTCTATTTGTCCTGGTAAGCACTATTAGTGGTACAGAATGTGAACACAAATAAAAATGAGTTGTCAGAAGAACAGGAATAAAGGAAGAATCCTTCAACAATGACACCTGTTCTGGTGACAGCTGTATTTAAAAGAGGAACTCCCCCCAATTTCTGAGGCTTTGCACCATGCGTGTAGAGCAGAAATTGAAGGGAAATTGCTTAGATGGGATACAGACTAAAACAATCCTAAAGGGTTTGAATCATTCCCTGATCTATCCAAAACACGAAAAAAGTTTTGATTTTTTTTTAGCCTCAAAAAACCAGGTGTACAGGTATAAATCCATTTATAGGAACAACATAAAATAAACTTTGCCAAGAAAGTTGTATTTCATTACATACGTACCTTGTGTGGTTAATATGTTTTAAATCTCTTCTTTTTCTCAGGGTCCTGGCATGGCTCGGAAATTTTCTGCTCCTGGACAGTTGTGTGTGAATCTTCCTCCATCCCTTGGGGTACCTGTTTCCATGCCTACAGCCTCTGCCAACTCCCTGGCTCAATACCCCAAAGGTGCCCCCCCTCAGCAGTACGGGTTCCCCGGTGCAACCTTCCAAGGACAGTGGAGTGGTCCCGGACTCCCACCATCTTCCCAGCCCATCAACCAGTTCCCGCCGACTGTGACTACTTCCTTACAGAACTTCAACATCAGCAACCTTCAGAAATCAATCAGTAACCCTCAGGGGTCCAACCTGAGGACTACCTAGCAGGAGAATGGCAGGAGAACCCCAACATATACTGCAAAACTGAGGGGAAGGGCAGGAGGGGAGAGTGCCACAAGATCTTCCCACCCACCGCAAGCCCCTCAGTGCTATTACTCCTGTCTCTTGCGTTCGCTTCTGTCCCTGTTTCTCCGTCCAAGGAGGCGGGACCCCGTTCCATCTGAAAGGTGGTTGTGAGCGCCCTGAAGTTGTGCACAATGGCCGTAGCACGTTCAGGGAGACGGAGCGAGGGAGGTTCCAGACCCTGTTTGATGAGCAGCAGATAGGGGTTGCTGTCTTCTCTGCTCTTACGGTATATAGGTCATTAATGCTTTCAATTTAAGAACTCTTTAACGGCTATCGACTGCAGCATTATACTTGTATGAATTAAAGTAAATATATAAATATATATAAATATATAAAAAAGTAATTGAAAAAAAAAAGTTCGGTGAGGACAATACTCTACCATCAGTTATGATGTGGATACACTGTGATATAATATATTTTATGTTGTTGGACAACATTAGTACTTATGATAATAAAATAGCGGAATGTTAAGAAGGTTACAGAGAAAACCAGAACATCTCCTCATCAGTCACTTTAATAAAAAAAAAAAAAAATATATATATATCATTTTGGCTCTGTCCTGTCCTTTTATTGGTTTTAATGTGAATGTAAAATTGTACAGAACTTGAACATAGCTTTGTCCTCCAACGGTTTTCTGTTGCATATTTGGTGCCTTGAGAAACATTCAACCTGTAAGTTCCTCTCTGAGGAGGAAGAGAGCTGGTTTGTGGCTGCGCCTTTCTGTCCCCCAGCAGAGACAAATAAGTATTTGTTTGCTTTTAGTAAAGTGTAATGAGCTGGCAGGTCCAGAGAGCGGCAGAGAGAGTGCAGCAGGTAGTCTTGGGGTTGGAGTAAGTGACAAATACATGGTGGAGTTGTACCGCTGTCCTATTTTGTCCATGTGGTGTTGGTTAGAGCTTTAGCTGGAAGGTAGAAGTGAATGAGGAAGTGTTTAGTAAATGGCTATCTATTGGTCACCGCTGAAGGAAGGTGGGTCATTTTTCCTCTTGGTGAGGGATTTGGTTTTTATCTGCCAAGGTATTGCAGTTTCCTGGCAGTAAATGGGTTGCAAAAGCTAAGATTTTAAGCTGTGATGTTTCCTTGGAGTTTGAGAGCAGAAGGGTCAATTTAGTGCATTGTTTAGAAAAGGTATTTAGGAGAGAATCCTGGTATCTAACTGGTAATGCCTCACCTCACTAAGGCACCTTTAGCAAATAATTAGAAGCTATGTATATTATAACCTGCAAACAGTATTAACTCTGTCCCATTGTACATTTGTTTTCAAGTTTACACCAAAGTGATCAGACAGCCTACAGTTCAGAGTTGATTGTCTTCAGATGGAAAAACAGCAGCAGTCTGTCTTGTGTGTCCTAGTTCTGTAGGGTGATAGATACAGTATATTTACCAATAAGGAAGCTGTAACTTCTGTTCTTGAATGCTAACTTAACGCAATGTTTTTTTTTGTTTTGTTTTTTTTTTGCCCTGCAGGGCAATCTGGCACTTGGCACTTAAAGGCGTCAGATAATTTTTGCTGTTTTCCTGCTGACTTTATTCAGATCCCTAACAGGTGAGAGTTCTTAGCAGGCTGTGTTCATCAGACTTGCCATAAACTGACCTCACACTTGTACCCTGATTTGAGGGTTTCCTCAGATGACTCGTCAGCTCCATGTAAAGGATGTATTTCTGTAGCAGAGGGTTGTTTTTTGTTCGTTCTGATGATTGCATAAAGCTACAAGGTAAAGTTAAGGGACCTAGTCCTTCTGTCCCAGGGAGTGAGTAAAGTGAAAGTGTCCACTACTAGAAATATTAGATTTCTCCTGCTTTTCATTGGGAGATGGTGAGGCAGCTGTGAAATGTGCTGATCCTATCTGGCGCAGCTTGGGTGTTGCAAGTGTGGTCAAAGGGTTTGGGTAGTGTCTGGAAGCAGGACAGAAGAATTCCAACAGGGAATTTGCACACTTGGCAGCAGATTAATATTTATTTTGCATATTTTATATCTTTTTCCAGTTTGTCAAGTTTGAGAACTTTTTTTTTTTTTTCCCATTTAAGTTGTGCATGCTTTGCATTATTTTCACTGATTTTACTTCCTTCCTGTGGACACAATAAAATAATAAATGCTACTGAACTCTAAAAGTTATTTACCTTTATTCTGCATCTTGTATCTTCCCTCCCCAAATGAGTCTTTTTCTGGATTTAAAAATGTGTTTTTTGTTCCCCCCACCCCCCGATATTGAACACTGTATGAAAATGAAATGAAATAAATGAGATTGTGGGATTCCCTGGAGCTGTGAATTTTCCGTTTTGCACTTTTTTTGTCCTGCATCTTTCTGTACAAATTTGCACTTTTCTCTTTTTATCGCCTCTGTAGACTGATATTAAAACTAATAAAGGAAGCCTTATTTTATGTTGGTGTTAATTTATGTGTGACATGATCCTACTTGTGGGGAGGTTTGTGGACATTTCAGTTAAATTACAAGTATATATGAATACATTCCTAATGTCACAGTAATACAGCAACAGCATATTTCTTTCATTCATTGACGATCATAGCCATTCTTCAGATGGTTTTGATACCACCACCTACAGGAGCAGGATGCTAGGTGCATTTACACTAAAAGCACACCCAGTAAGTGTTCCTCTAGAGGTGGCCAAACCCCCATCTGCAGTAAGGATATCCATTTTATTCTAGCATCCTTTCAAAAGTAGGACACACTTTTTTGCAATTTTTTTCTTATTTCCTGTGGAAATTTTTGTTCCTGTGAATGAATATTTTTCTTCAATCAGCTATTATGCTGGCTGATAGGCTGGATATTACAGATCAAGATAAGTCCCCCCAGCACTGCTATTGTGCGTGCGTAGACCCCCAATATAGGGAGATCGGCTGCGGCAACTCTGTCTTGCACAGACTGGCCAGATGGAGAATGACCCCTTGGCAGACATATAAGATGATTGGACTGCGTTTTTCTGTTGTAGCGCTGCCTATTGGCCAGCGATACCCAGAGCAATATAGAGTCAGTGATACAATGTGATGGAGCACTACAACTCCCAGGTTTCCCTCCCTCTGGATTGTATTATCCATGTTGGGTTTTTCTGAAAATAGAATGGGCTTTACCAAAAAGCAGTCATTTTTGTTTTGTTCATAGCACATTCTCCGAGAAGGATTTTGGCTTCCTCAGGTAAGTTTGGGCAAACTCCAATCTGGCTTTTTCTTTATCAGCAGTGGGGTCCTCCTGCGTCTCCTACCATAGCGTCCCTTTTCATTCAGCTGGCAACTTATAGTGTGAGCTGACACAGTTGTACCCTGTGCCTGAAGGTCAGCTGGAACTTTGAAGTTAATTGAGGTTCTTTAGCTACCATTCGATCAATCCTTTTGCAATCTTAGATCAAGTTTTCGTCCAAGTCCAGGGAGATTAGCTACAGTGCCATGGACTGTAAACCTCTTGCCAATGTTGTGCACAGTGGACACAACAGGAACATTAAGACCTCTGGAGATGAACTTGTAACCTTGAGATTGTCTATGCTTTTCCACAATGTTTGTTCTGACATCCTCAGACAATTCTTTGTGCCAATACAATTATACCATTATAAAAGTGCATGTGCAAAAGTTCTCAAACATTAATCCATAAGTGCATAAAATGGGAATTCAAATTAAAAAAAAAAAATCATCAGGCTTGCAGTGCTGTCAAACACTATCCATGCACAGAAAAACTTTTGTAAATAAAATTAATGTCGAAGTCCCAGTGCTATCTGTGTAAGTCACTTAATTTCCATTAAAATGCTGACAATACCTGTCCATGTGCAAACTATAATCACAGTTCTTTTGAATAAACTTCTTAATCTGTGCAATCCCTTAAATCACTAAGCCACATAGAAACACTCTACCTCGTGCTCATCAAACACTGAGTGCCATCTGTGTGGCTGCTCACCTTCAATATACTCCTTTATTTTCATACAGGTCTATATGCATTTATGTATAAATTCTCATGCGGTTCACCCCTTCTGTTGTCACAGCATCAATCTCAACTCCTCTCCTCCGTATGCCCCAATAGTAGTACTTCTGAAACTAGAATAAAAGTCTTCCATAGCGTAAAATTGTAAAACGCCCGCTTTTGTTTTAATTTAAGTAACACATTTAATATACACTGCTCAAAAAAATTAAAGGAACACTTTTTGAAAACATCAGATCTCAATTGGAAAATTTATAATGCTGGATATCTATACTGATATGGACTGGGTTATGTGTTAGAAATGTAAGGATGCCCCAGCGTTTGATTTTTGGGGTGTCTTTGATGGAAATTAAAATTAACCTACAGAGGACTGAATTCAAAGTGGAAAAAATGATGCAGTAGGCATCCATTTTGCTGACAGTTAATTGCAGCAACTCAAAATGATAGTTTGTATGGCCCCCCATGTGCTTGGATGCATGACTCATATCAGGGCATGCGCCTAATGAGACGATGGATGGTGTCCTGGGGTATTTCCTCCTAGATCTGGACCAGGGCATTTCTGATCTCCTGGACAGTCTGAGGTGCAACGTGGCGGCTTCGGATAGACCGAAACGTGATATCCCAGAGGTGTTCTATTGTAATTAGGTCAGGCGAGTGTGGGGGCTATACAATTAAATTCCTTCATCCTACAGGAACTGCCTGCATTGTCGTGCACCTGGAGGAGCGCAGGACCCACTGCACCATCGTAGGGTCTGACAATGGGTCCAAGGATTTCATCCCGATACCTATTGGCAGTCAGGGTACCATTGTCTAGCCTGTGCCTACGATGTCTGTGCATCCCTCCATGGATATGCCTCCCAAGACCATCACTGACCCATCACTAAGATGGTCATGCTGAATGATGTTACAGGCAGCATAACATTCTCCACGGTTTCTCCAGACCCTTTCACGTCTGTTGTATACGGACCTGCAAATTCTAGTGTTCAATGGCAA